GTCTTGGCTTGACCATTGGGTTGGTGTTGACCATTGATTGGTCTTGACCATTGGGTTGCTCTTGGCCATTGATTGGTCTTCACCGTTGGGTTGGTGTTCACCATTGATTGGTCTTCACCATTGGGTTGGTGTTGACCATTGATTGGTCTTGGCCATTGATTGGTCTTGGCCATTGATTGGTCTTGGTCATTGGACTGGTGTTGACCACTGGGTTGGTCTTGGCTTGGCCATTGATTGGTCTTCACCATTGGGTTGGTGTTGACCATTGGGTTGGTGTTGACCATTGATTGGTCTTCACCATTGGGTTGGTGTTGACCATCAGTCTTGGCTTGACCATTGGGTTGGTGTTGACCATTGATTGGTCTTCACCATTGGGTTGGTGTTGACCATCAGTCTTGGCTTGACCATTGGGTTGGTGTTGACCATCAGTCTTGGCTTGACCATTGGGTTGGTGTTGACCATTGGGTTGGTCTTGACCACTGGGTTGGTCTTGGTCATTGATTGGTCTTGGCCATTGGGCTGGTGTTGACCATTGGGTTGGTGTTGACCATCAGTCTTGGATTGACCATTGGCCTTGGTTTGACCATTGATTGGTCTTCACCGTTAGGTTGGTGTTGACCATTGGGTTGGTGTTGACCATCAGTCTTGGATTGACCATTGGGTTGGTGTTGACCATTGGGTTGGTCTTGACCACTGGGTTGGTCTTGGTCATTGATTGGTCTTGGCCATTGGACTGGTGTTGACGACTGGGTTGGTCTTGGCTTGACCATTGGGTTGGTGTTGACCATCAGTCTTGGCTTGACCATTGGGTTGGTGTTGACCATTGATTGGTCTTCACCATTGGGTTGGTGTTGACCATTGATTGGTGTTGACCATTGGGTTGGTGTTGACCATCAGTCTTGGATTGACCATTGGGTTGGTGTTGACCATTGGGTTGGTCTTGACCACTGGGTTGGTCTTGGTCATTGATTGGTCTTGGCCATTGGACTGGTGTTGACGACTGGGTTGGTCTTGGCTTGACCATTGGGTTGGTGTTGACCATCAGTCTTGGCTTGACCATTGGGTTGGTGTTGACCATTGATTGGTCTTCACCATTGGGTTGGTGTTGACCATTGATTGGTCTTGGCCATTGATTGGTCTTGGCCATTGATTGGTCTTGGTCATTGGACTGGTGTTGACCACTGGGTGGGTCTTGGCTTGACCATCGGTCTTGGCTTGACCATTGGGTTGGTGTTCACCGTTGGGTTGGTGTTGGGTTGACCACCACTGACCCCTGATGACCACCACTGACCACCACTGACCCCTGATGACCACAAGTGACCACCACTGACCCCTGATGACCACAAGTGACCACCACTGACCACCACTGACCCCTGATGACCACAAGTGACCACCAGTGACCCCTGATGATAACAAGTGACCACAAGTGACCACCACTGACCACAAGTGACCACCAGTGACCACCACTGACCACCACTGACCCCTGATGACCACAAGTGACCACCAGTGACCACCAGTGACCACCAATGACCCCTGATGACCACAAGTGACCACCATTGACCACCAATGACCCCTGATGACCACAAGTGACCACCACTGACCACCATTGACCACCAATGACCCCTGATGACCACCACGGACCCCTGCTGACCACCACTGTCCACCACTGACCACAAGTGACCACCAGTGACCACAAGTGACCACCAGTGACCCCTGATGACCACAGGTGACCACCAGTGACCACCACTGACCACCAATGACCCCTGATGACCACAAGTGACCACAAGTGACCACCACTGACCCCTGATGACCACAAGTGACCACAAGTGACCACCACTGACCACAGGTGACCACCGGTGACCCCTCTGTCCCCGTTTCTCCTCAGTTCGTTCCGTCCCTCCGGCCGTTCCTCCAGACTTTGGCCATCGGCCTCGTGTCCTTCGGCGAGAATTACCGGAACCGCGACCCCGGCATCGGTGAGCGCCGGGAATTCCGGGAATTCCGGGTGGAATTTGGGGGATTTTGGGAAATTTTGGGTGATTTTGGGTGATTTTGGGTGATTTTGGGTGATTTTGGGAGGTTCTTGAGGGATTTTTGGGGAGGAATCACCGGAACCGCGACCCCGGCATCGGTGAGCGCCGGGAATTCCGGGAATTTCGGGTGGATTTTGGGTGATTTTGGTGGATTTTGGGTGATTTTGGGTGAATTTTGGGTGATTTTGGGTGATTTTGGGTGATTTGGGTGATTTGGGTGGATTTTGGGTGGATTTTGGGTGGATTTTGGGGAGGAACCACCGGAACCGCGACCCCGGCATCGGTGAGCGCCGGGAATTCTGGGAATTCCGGGAATTTTGAGTGGAATTTGGGGGATTTTGGGAAATTTTGGGTTGATTTTGGGTGGATTTGGGAAATTTTGGGTGGATTTTGGTGGATTTTGGGAGGTTCTTGAGGGATTTTTGGGGAGGAATCACCGGAACTGCGACCCCGTCATCGGTGAGCGCCAGGAATTCCGGGAATTCCGGGAATTTCGGGTGGAATTTGGGGGATTTTGGGTGATTTTGGGTGGATTTGGGTGGATTTTGGTGGATTTTGGGAGGTTCTTGAGGGATTTTTGGGGAGGAACCACCGGAACCGCGACCCCGGCATCGGTGAGCGCCGGGAATTCCGGGAATTCCGGGAATTTTGGGTGGAATTTGGGGGATTTTGGGAAATTTTGGGTTGATTTTGGGTGGATTTGGGAAATTTTGGGTGATTTTGGGTGATTTTGGGTGATTTTGGGTGGATTTTGGGTGGATTTGGGTGGATTTTGGGTGTTCTAGACGTTCCAGGCTTGGATTTTGAGACAATTTTGGCGTTTTTGGGGGTTCCCGGGGTGGATTTTGTGATTTTTGGGGTTCCTGAGGCTGATTTTGGGGAGATTTTTGGTGTTTTTGGGGATTTTGGGAAATTTGAGTGGATTTTGGGTGGATTTGGGTGGATTTTGGGGGATTTGAGTGATTTTGGGTGATTTTGGGTGATTTTGGGTGATTTTGCGTTATTTTGGGTTATTTTGGGTGGATTTTGGGTGGATTTGGGTGGATTTTGGGTGTTCTAGACGTTCCAGGCTTGGATTTTGGGACAATTTTGGCATTTTTGGGGGTTCCCGGGGTGGATTTTGTGATTTTTGGGGTTCCCGAGGCTGATTTTGGGGTGATTTTTGGTGTTTTTGGGGTCTCAGGGGTGGCTGCGGGGTCGCTGTTCACGAGCGGGAAGTTCGCGCTGGACCCGGAGCTGCGCGGGGCCGAATTCGAGCGCCTGACCCAAAATCTGGACGTGCATTTTTGGAAAAGCTTCTGGAACCTCACGGAAACCGAGCTGCTGGCGGTCAGAACCCCCAAAAAACCCCAAAAATCCCCAAAATCCCACCCAAAAAACCCCAAAAATCCCAAAATCCCACCCAAAACCCCCCAAAATCCCACCTGAAAATCCCCAAAAAACCCCAAAAAACCCCAAAAATCCCAAAATCCCACCTGAAAAACCCCAAAAAACCCCAAAAATCCCAAAATTTCACCTAAAACCCCCGAAATCCCACCTGAAAAATCCCCAAAAACCCCAAAATCCCACCCAAAAACCCCCAAAATCTCACCTGAAAATCTCCAAAAAACCCCAAAAATCCCAAAATCCCACCCAAAAATCCCCAAAAAACCCCAAAAATCCCACCTGAAAATCCCCAAAAAACCCCAAAAATCCCAAAATTTCACCTAAAACCCCCAAAATCCCACCTGAAAATCCCCAAAAAACCCCCAAAAAACCCCAAAAATCCCAAAATCCCACCCAAAAATCCCAAAATCCCACCTGAAAATCCCCAAAATTCTACCTGACAACCCAAAAAAATTCCAAAAATCCCCCTTGAAATTCCCCAAAAAACCCAAAAATCCCAAAAATTTCACCTGAAAATCCCCAAAAACCCAAAAAAATTCACTTGAAAATTCCCAAAAATCCCCAAAATCCCCAAAATCTGATCTGAAAATTCCAAAAAAAATCCCAAAAATGGGAAAATTTTTTTTTTTAGATTTTTGGGATGGGATTTTTGGGGAATTTTGGGGGATTTTGGGGTGGGAATTTGGATTTTTTTGGGGGATTCTTTGGGATTTTTTGGGATTTTGGGGTAAAAATTCAGGAATTTTTGGGGTTTTTGGGGATTTCAGGGTAGAAATTCTGGGATTTTGGGGAATTTTGGGGGATTTTTGGGTTGGGATTTTGGGATTTTTGGGGTTTTTTGTGGATTTTGGTCATTTTGGGATGGTTTTTGTGGATTTTGGTCATTTTGGGATGGGATTTTTTGGGATTTGGGGATTTCAGGACGGAATTTTTGGGGATTTTTGTGGATATTTGTGATTTTGGGATTTTTTTGGGATTTTTTTTGATTTTTTGGGATTTTTTGGATCAGAATTCAGGAAATTTTGGGGATTTTTTGTGGATTTTTGGGGATTTTTTATGGATTTTTGTGGATTTTGGTCATTTTGGGATGGCATTTTTTGGGATTTTGGGATTTCAGGATGGAATTTTTGGGGATTTTTGTGGATATTTGGGATTTTGGGATTTTTTTGGATTTTTTTGGGGATTTTTTGGGATTTTTTTGATCGGAATTTAGGAAATTTTGGGGGATTTTTGGGGATTTTTTATGGATTTTTGTGGATTTTGGTCATTTTGGGATGGGATTTTTGGGGATTTGGGTGTTTCAGGATGGATTTTTTGGGGGATTTTGGTGATTTTGGTGAATTTTGGGATAAATTCGGTATAATTTAACCCTTTGCAGTCCGTGGCCTCGCTGACAGCCGTGCAGGTGGGGCTGTGCCGAGCCCTGGGGGGATTTTGGGGTGGGATTTTGGTGATTTTGGGGATTTCAGGACGGAATTTTTGGGATTTTTGTGGATATTTGTGATTTGGGGATTTTTTTGGATTTTTTTGGGATTTTTTGGGATTTTTGGGATCAGAATTCTGGGAAATTTTGGGGATTTTTTGTGGATTTTTGGGATTTTTTTTTGGAATTTTTGTGGATTTTGGTCATTTTGGGATGGCATTTTTTGGGATTTGGGGGTTTCAGGATGGAATTTTTGGGGGATTTTTGTGGATATTTGTGATTTTGAGATTTTTTTGGATTTTTTGGGGATTTTTTGGGATTTTTGGGGAATTTTGGGGGATTTTTGGGGATTTTTTATGGATTTTTGTGGATTTTGGTCATTTTGGGATGGGATTTTTGGGGATTTTCGGATTTCAGGATGGAATTTTTGGGGATTTTGGGATTTTTTGTGATTTTTTGGGTTTTTTTTGGATTTTTTGGGGATTTTTTGGGGATTTTTGGGATCGGAATTTAGGAAATTTTAGGGATTTTTTGGGGATTTTGGGTGATTTTTGGAGGATTTTTTGGGATTTTTTATGGATTTTTGTGGATTTTGGTCATTTTGGGATGGGATTTTTTGGGGATTTTCGGATTTCAGGATGGAATTTTTTGGGATTTTGGGATTTTTTGGGATTTTGGGATTTTTTTGGATTTTTTGGGGATTTTTTGGGATTTTTTGGATCGGAATTTAGGAAATTTTTGGGGGATTTTTGGGGATTTTTTATGGATTTTTGTGGATTTTGGTCATTTTGGGGTGGGATTTTTGGGGATTTGGGTGTTTCAGGATGGATTTTTTGGGGGATTTTGGTGATTTTGGTGAATTTTGGGATAAATTCGGTATAATTTAACCCTTTGCAGTCCGTGGCCTCGCTGACAGCCGTGCAGGTGGGGCTGTGCCGAGCCCTGGGGGGATTTTGGGGTGGGATTTTGGGATTCCTGGATGGATTTTTTTGGGGATTTTGGTGATTTTGGTGAATTTTGGGATAAATCCGGTATAATTTAACCCTTTGCAGTCCGTGGCCTCGCTGACAGCCGTGCAGGTGGGGCTGTGCCGAGCCCTGGGGGGATTTTGGGGTGGGATTTTTTGGGATTTGGGGATTTCAGGACGGAATTTTTTGGGGATTTTTGTGGATATTTGTGATTTTGGGATTTTTTGGATTTTTTGGGGATTTTTTTGGGGATTTTTGGGATCAGAATTCTGGGATTTTGGGGATTTTTTTGGGGAATTTTGGGGGATTTTTGGAGGATTTTTGGGATTTTTTTTTGGAATTTTTGTGGATTTTGGTCATTTTGGGATGGCATTTTTTGGGATTTGGGGTTTCAGGATGGAATTTTTTGGGGATTTTTGTGGATATTTGGGATTTTGGGATTTTTTGGGTATTTTTGGGGATTTTTGGGGATTTTTTGGATCGGAATTCAGGAAATTTTAGGGATTTTTTGGGGATTTTGGGTGATTTTTGGAGGATTTTTTTGGATTTTTTATGGATTTTTGTGGATTTTGGTCATTTTGGGATGGGATTTTTTGGGATTTGGGTGTTTCAGGATGGATTTTTTGGGGATTTTGGTGAATTTTGGGATAAATTCGATTGATTTTAACCCTTTGCAGTCCGTGGCCTCGCTGACAGCCGTGCAGGTGGGGCTGTGCCGAGCCCTGGGGGGATTTTGGGGTGGGATTTTGGGATTTTGGGATTTCAGGATGGAATTTTTGGGGATTTTTGTGGATATTTGTGATTTTGGGATTTTTTTGGATTTTTTGGGGATTTTTTGGGATTTTTGGGATCAGAATTCTGGGATTTTGGGGATTTTTTGGGGGGAATTTTGGGGGATTTTTTGGGATTTTTTATGGATTTTTGTGGATTTTGGTCATTTTGGGATGGGATTTTTGGGGATTTTTGGATTTCTGGATGGATTTTTTTTGGATTTTGGGATTTTTTGGGATTTTGGGATTTTTTTGGATTTTTTGGGGATATTTTGGGATTTTTTGGATCGGA